TATCAGAATGGAAAGTGTAGCAGACAGGTTGTTGGAATTATTAAAATCAGTAAATTTCCTAAAGAAATTGCTCAGTTTTTAACGCTTCCGAATCCTCAAGATTACACTGGGCACTGTTTCCGCAGAACATCCGCAACGCTATTAGTGGATGCAGGAGGTGACTTGCTTCTGTTAAAAAAGCACGGTGGTTGGAAATCTAGTAGTGTTGCGGAAGGATATGTTGATGATTCCACGAACAGTAAAAACCAAATACAAACCAAAATTTTACAATCTGTACAAAATAAGGAAACTACTAGTTCATCCGATTATGGCGCATCATCATCTGAAATGACATTTAACAGTAGAACAAATATGTCGGCATCTACCTCAATAAATAAAAAGCTTGAGTCTGATACCCCCATAATTTTGAACAATTGTTCAAATATAACAATAAATCAATATTTAAATAATAAATAATATTTCTGAAATATTTAAGTGTTGGTTAATTTTATGTTATTCCTAACACAAAATAAAGCATTTGCTAACGTTTGTTTTTTTTTTAATTTTAGTAGGTACCTACATGACATAATAGAGTTCGTAGAAAAAGTATAGTGTTTTACTCGTCGAAAATCATTTTCGTCACTCGTGAAACAATATACTATTTTTATCAATATATAAATTTGTAAACCAAAATGCTTACAAAATAAAGTAATAAACAAATTATAAATTAAAAAATCAGAAACATAATCCATAATATACAGGGTGGTGCATTAGAAATAGTCCACCTCAAATATTATTGGCGAGGGAGGTGTTTACGATAAACCTGCAATCATGAGAGAAAAACATACACAAAATCCCAAAAATTGAATGTATGAGCTGGGGTTTTTGGAAATATTATTGTTGGTCCATTTTTCCTACCTCACAACATGACGGATGAATCTTATTTTGATTTGCTCGAAGAAAACATCTACCCTTACATTGTGAAAATAATGGAAAACGATGATCAGATCCCAGAGAATGATTTTTTTAACAGTATGGCTCTCCACCACACTATGCAACTCCTTTACGTGACTTTTTGAATCAACATTTTACCGCACATTGGATTGGTAGAAGAGGTTTTATTAAATGGCCCCTAACATCACCAGATCAAACACCGTTGGACTTCTTCATATGGGGTTATTTAAAACGTGTTATTTACAAAACGCAACCGAACTCTTTAGATGATCTTCGCCACCGGATAACTGTGTCATGCAGTGAAATAACTTCTGCAATGCTATAAAACGTTCGAAAGAGTGTTAAACAAAGGTTTTATTACTGTTTGGAAGTAAATGGATCGCAATTTAAACACTTTTCTGGAAACTTTTTTTTTTATTTCTTTCATCTATAATTCCAGCTGGTCGAGTGTTTTTCTCTAAAGCCAAACTTGCGGTAGGGTAATAGGGTATTGCATAAATCATTTTTGTATATTATGATAAAAAAATAATTGCCTCTCAATGAAGGGTTTACATTCGACTTGCTATTATTAAAAAAAAACACTTCAAAAATTATTGCTGAGATATGCTTTGCAAAGGGGAAACGTAATTCCTCTAACCCTGTAGTAACTGATCTTCACAATAAGGATATCGTGTGACAAACAGTTAAAAGCCTTTGAGAAATTTCTCAGAGTAATTCCTACAAACTTTTAGTTTTCAATACCCTCAACCATGTAAACAGCGGCACACATTGCAGCATTAGTAGTTGACCGTCGTAGTTAAACGAAAATAAAATTATTATCCATTTGAAAAATATTTTTACAATTGAAATCGGAAGCTAGTTTTCAGTGACTGACTCTTCACTTCTTTTATGCAGAAGAAAGACTATTTTTAAATTTAAACATACAAGTATCTCGTTTCTACTAGTGATAAATGTGTAATTGATTATACTATATTTAATTTAAATGATTTTTTGTTTAAAAGTTCTGACATTAAAAACTTCTCTTTTAACTAAAGAAAAAAATTACCAACGAGTTGAAAATGTTTAAAACTTTAATAAATTATTAATTGGCAAAACCAGTAAAGACTTAATTAACAGTCTCTGTCTAATTTGTAAATAAATTTAGAGTTTGGACCTTCAATACAGTTTTTGCTTTGATTTGTTTTTACAATGTTTACCAAAATTTGGATTTGTTATCTGCCTTGGTTTTAGAATTGTCATGTATTATGCATTCTTTTTACAAAGTTTTATTTATTAGTGTTGTTTTTCATAAATTTTTTCAAGTGATTAACAACAACTGGGTCTTTAGTAACAGTTTCTAAATTTGACAAAAAAAAATCTAAGGTCTGTTAGTTTTTTGACGAACCAACAAACAGGCTGAATATATACTTCAACTTTATCAAAACCCTCATCTAAATTTGTAATAATATTATCCAAGCAGCTAAAGTCTGAACAAAAAAGAGGAGTACATGAAAAGTGAAGATAAAACGTCACATTCGATAGGCGTACTTTGCAAAAAAACATTCTATAATATAAATAAGGTCATAAGCATATAAAATGATATATACAAGTTTTCCGAGAAAACAGTTAAATCTCTAGATATGTATCTTTGAGTCACCCTGTATAAAATTTAACCATATGGATTATAGCGTATAATTTAACAATATAAATTAGTTAATAAACATTAAAACAATTAAATTAAAAATTAAATGGCCCCAAAAAATGGAATTGAAATTATCAGATTGCTTCCTTACCATGCAGAGTTAAATCCTATTGGACTGATCTGATCACATATATACCATTTTATAGGATGTGACCTTATTTTCATTACAAAAACTTATTTTTTAAAGTACGCCTATGGAATGTGACGTTATATCCCCACTTTTATCGTACTCCTCTTTTATTCAGATTATAGTATTTTATTTTATGTTAGAACTTCTTTTTGGGGTTAAATTTTATAAATTTAATAATAGTTTGTGCAACAAGAGTGGATATGATGGCCATATCACACAAAGACGAAATTTAAGCACGACGTTGTAGGTGGAGTGCTCCTCAATCGTCTGAGTGCGATGTAGAAAATCCACTCAAATTGTACAGTATATTTTTTTCTACGACACACTAACGAAAAATTAGAAATAAAAAAAAATATTTTAGGTTATTAAGACAAAATAACTAATTTCAACATAATTTATTATTTTTAAAATTTTTTTAAATAAAATGAAAGAAGAAACAAAATTAATTTAAAAGTCCCAGCTGAGATACTCTTACCACCCATCCACCGGCATATTGTTTTTTTTTTTAATAGAGTTTTATTAAAATTAACAAATTATTTATAATTATAGTATAAATAAAAATAGAAATGCTATTATTTATCGATTGTACACAAAAATAATAGACCGTCAGATAGTGACTAGGTGCCTCATTGTCACATACAAGCCTCGAATTTGAGTAAAATGAAATGAAATTTACGAGTGGCCCCTGGGGATAACATATGGAAAATTCGATTTTCCTTAACAGAAATAAAAGGTGTTTTTTGCTCATTTTTCCACGCAAGCCGTTTTCATTATATGATTAATTAATAAAACTAAGCTTCGGAAAACCAAAGGCTTTAATGTTGCAAGTGGCTAAAGGGTTGAAATAAGGGTGTAATCTTGTAAAGAAAATCCGATATTTTAACTAATTTTTTCCACGCAAGCCCGTCGAAAGTATGAATACATACATCGTCACTAGCCCGAAATACATATTGTCTTGAATGGCGCGAATAAATAAAAACACACACACACACACACACGCGCACGCACGCACGCACCCACACACACACACACACACACACACACACACACACACACACATACATATACATACATACATACATACACATACACACACACGCACACGCACACGCGCACACGCGCACACACACACACACACACACACACACACACACACACACACACACACACACACACACACACACACACACATGCACACACACACACACATGCACACACACACACACACACATGCACACACACACAGACATCATCCCGAAAATAGTCAAAACGTATTCAGGGGACCCCAAAACGAAAAAATCCGTCGAAAACTGGAGGTCGAAAAAAATCATGATTCCTATACTTTCCTTATCTGTATACAGATAGGAAAGTAAAAATTGGCACTTAATTGGTATATGATAAGATTGACAAATTTTAATATAAACTAATTAAACTATATTTAATCAAAATATGCCAATTTATTTATTTAAAACAATATCAAATAGAAACATTTCACTGGAGAACAGAGGCATTTACTATTTTTTTTTATATTATCAATGAGCTGCCATATCATCATATGAAGTGTACCCTCTAATTTAATCAATTGGTGAAAAAAATAGCTTAAAAACATACTTTCATTTTAATCACAAAAATTATAATACGCACTAGAAGAAACAACTTCAATGAAGATAATTTCACTTTGTATCACCATGTATAAAATCTAACCATTTTAAGTGTACCGTAAAATTTCACAATTAGAAATAATTATAAAAAAAATATTGCAGTAGCTCATACAAACTTCCATATTGAACTCAAAATTATAATATGGCACTAGAAGAAAAAATCTTCGATGAAAACAATTTACACTAGAGAACAGATAAATCCTTATTATTCGCTATTCTCTATCATATTTTCTTTATGTCACCCTGTATAAAATCTAACCACATTTTTAAATCATCATAAATATAGAATATACCGTAAAATTTCTCAATATGAATTAATTATTAATAAAAAATATTACACTAGCTCAAAGACATACTTTCATATAATCTCAAAAATCGGACACTGTCTCTTCATTCATAAATTATGATATCGCACTAGAAGAAGAAAAAAATCTTCGATGGGAACAATTTCACTGTCGATGGCTGGCGATATCCTTGTTTCACGACTACAGAGGACCAAACAAAACGACGATCTCCGCGAAGATTTCTGCGGAAGACCCTATTTTCCGTGCCGATGGCATTCTCCAGCTGGTCCATCTGACACACTTGTTGTAGGCTCGTGTGTTCTGATCATATAAAAAGTACCTCTTCTTCGGAAGTTCCCATTTCATTGGTTACCACCGGACATGCCTGAACACTAAAATTAAAAAAAATATTTTATTTTTTTTTTGGTATTTGTAATTTGTAATTGGTTTTTCGAAAATATCTAAAAAAAATTAGTGACAATGAACTTTAAAGTGGATTGTGTTGTGATCGGCTGTTTGTTTTTGGTTAATGCTGCTTTGGCAGTACCATTGGTCGAAGATGGGAAAGAACATATAAATTCGGTAAGATTTGTAATAATATTTATAATAATAATATATATTTATCGAATAGTATAAATAATATGGAAAGGTTCATTAAAAAAATTCTCGATTATATTTGATTTAACAATTTAAATATAACTATTTAGTAAACAGACAATAAACACCTAGTGATAACCAAAAGAAAATTTTCAAATAAGTTCATTAATTACATATTTTAAATATAATTCTATTATTTACTTACAAATTTAAAAACATTTTTAGTTAACCTATTTCTATATAAGTAACAAAAAGTGCAATAATATTGTCAAAAATAATTTAATTTTTAAAAAGAATCATGGTTTTCAATTTTGTTTTAAAAGTATAAATTCCCATGTGAGTTTTTAGACAAAACTGATTAATATATAAAATAATATCTAAAAAAGTTAATTAACATATAAATTTAAATATTATTTATGTTTATTCATTTATAAGTTGTTTAACAACCTCTTCATCTTATTTGAAAAAAATATCTTGCTTGTCTATGAAATAGTTGTTTGCATTTTTAAATTCTTTTTGACTGAAAATATGTTCAATTCAATTAGAATGTTTAGTATTGGTATTAATTTTATAGGGTAAATACAATTTTTACTTTTTGAATGTTAATAAACTAACATGACTGTAACAAAATAAACAATTTATTCCTAAACAAATAAATACCTATGTAATTTTAAACAGAATAAATACCATGTTTATTTATGTGCTTGATCAAATGTCAAATATGGAACAGTTTTGATTAAATTTTAATTGAAATTAGACTCTTTTAATGCTAATGAAAGATATACCAATCAATAATACTGCAACATTCAAAATTCATAATAGTTTTTTGCTTTATTTTTTTTTACTTGCAAGACTTTTATATTTTTGGGTGATATTTTTAGAAATCGTTTTTTTCTTTATGAGCAATATAATATTTGTAAATTTATCAAATTTTTAGTTTTTATTGGGATGAAATTTTGTTATTTTCACTTTTTAAAATTTGTTACATTTATCTAACTCGATCTAACGTAACGTGGGGGTAATTTAATGACTTTTGATTTTATTTCTTTGTAAGAAATCTAAAAATAGTTGATCAAAAGACCGAGGTGCACACAACTGTCTCATCAAGCAGTTTTCATATATTTTTTCATTCTTGTTTTTGAAAAGATACTTAAATGCAAGAATTGGTACAAAATTACTAACGATATAAGTATGATGAACTTGTCATATGGAAAGGAACGATCACTTTCATGGTTTTTATCTCATGAATCTTTCAAATAGTCACTAGAAATAAAAAACCGCGAAGTGCTATTAAATTAGAGGGTGAAAAATGGAGATAGGGGTGAAAATGCAACCATTACAGTTTTTTAATTATATCTAGAAAACGAAGCAAAATTTAGTTATTGTTATTGCGAAATTTTTTGTAGAGAATGTGATTTCATGTCGAAATAGGTTATTTAAGAAAATTTTCTTTATGTTAAAAATATAAAAAAAAAAGAAATAAAAAAAAGCAAAAATCGAGTTTTTGTTTTTTTTTTGCGTTTTCTGAGCAGAGATAGGTACAAATATTGCTTTATATAAAAAACTAGATTACATTTTCTTTAAAATGATGGGCTCAAACAGTTTTTTGGATAGAAATAGACTGAGATATTGCCCTTCAAATTTAGTTATTTTTTTCAATTTTTATCTTTACCTTGATATCGTTTTAGTTTTTTATTTTTTACATCTAAATTCATTTTTATTCAATAAAAAGCGTATTTTACGAATATTTATATAATTATAAACAACTAATTTATTCATAAAATAAAAGTTGCTTCTTATATTATTCTCTATAATCTTTGTTTTATACAAATTTTTTCTAAAATGGTCTGTATTTGAGAAATTTGACAAAATGTAAATAATTCTGATTTTTAAGAAAATTGTTAAACTAAAAGTTGTTTGCGATACCGATTTCTATAATTTTTGTTATATACATGATTTCTCAAAAATGGACCGTAATGAAAAAATTGCAGAAAAAGTGTAAAATTTAAATTTTTTAGTATTTTCGTTGGTAATGAATATAATATTAAAAAAATGTTTCGAGTTAATATGTAAAAAATGTATAATAATAATAATAATAATAATAATAATAATAATAATAATAATAATATAATAATATAACTTTATTCAATAATAAATTACATATGTATATGAATCATATCTATATATACAATAAAAAAATATGATTCTTCCTAAAAAAGAAGTACCTTAAAAATATAATATGATATAATAAAAATAACAAATATTAAATAAAGTGGTGCGAAGCGATAAGTATTAAATACTTGTATCGCTTTATAAAACAATTTAGGTAATAATAACAATACCAATACAGCTCATATAATTATTGTTTTATAATAAAACAAAAATAAATAAATGAACAGAGGAAGCCACACTGAGTACCGGACATCCAGAAAATGAGAAGCTAAGGATAAACTTGGAAGCTTCTCAGGCACTGTATGTCAGGTAGGTAAGCAATAAACTTGCCTCGTCATTTATGATTTTTTTCTTTTCATTTTACATGACAAAAAGAAAGGAAGAGAGAAAAAAAAAAACAATTAAAAATGTTATAACCCAAAAAATATTTTCACACCGGGTGTTCAAATTAAAGTGTTACAGTTAAATACTGCCGAGAATATGCATTTTAGAAAAAAAGTTTTAGACAAAAGTTTTATAGTTTTTGGGGGAAACATTTTGGTTAAATTAATTTTTTATAGCTGACCATAATATGGCCATATCGAAAAAAAAGTAGGCCCTACACACACACACCTTACTTGGGCCCAAATTGGGTAGGTTCCTATCACGTTTCATTGGATCGAAACCCTCCTGACCCCACCAACTTCCCCGACTACTTCACTCAGGGGGCCTCAAGTTAAATCCATTTGATTAGTATGCCAGTCCTTCTTAAAGGACTGTGAAGGATGACATATTATCATCATTTAGACAGGGATTGCTAAGGACATTTCCCTGTTTCGTCGTTCGTTTGTTTGTCTTGTGTGTGCTCATTCTTTGAGAGTTCGACACCTGTGAAAGATCTCCCAGTCTCCATTGGCGACTAGGAGGACCTTCTCCCCTAGGTGGGTTATCGTCTGTTGCTTAGTCCTTGTATGAATCACGTGTTGTATTCTGTAAGCGAATTCTGAAAGAGAAATCTTATATTCTATGAGCGTCTTGAATTTTTATACCTTCCGTGGTTTGGTCACTTGTCGCCATATTTCAGAACTTTGCGTGGTCTGGCGTGTCTCCTATAATCCCCTCTCTCGTACTCTGTTAGTTCTTGCAGTTCTATATTTGGGAGTCCTTAGGTTTTCGAAGGTGTCAGTGGCCTTCTTGTGAATAAGGTCTAGGACCCTTTTGGATTCCAGGTTCCTCATATTTTATCTGTATGTGTTTGAGGCCCATCTCAGGCTGATGTTCTGTTGAGCTTGTATCCTCTTCCTGTTTGTCTTACAGGTGTAACCCCATGCCGTCGAGGCGTACATCAGTATAGGCATAATTACTGCCTAAATGAGCCTCTTTTTTGTCTTTAGTAGGAGTTTGCTCTTACGTCCTATTAGACAATTTAGTCTTGATCTTGCCTGTTTCGTCTTCTTAACTACCATGTCCACGTGCTTGGTAAAAGTAAGTTTTTGGACTATAATAACTCCTAGGTACCTGGCTGAGTTGATCCATGGGATGTCCTGTCCATTCATCGTTACTTCTTCTCTTAGAGGGTGACGTCTATTTTTAAACAGCACTGCCTGTGTCTTCTCCGCGTTGATCTGGATCTTCCATCTTATGCACCATTTTACCATGTCTTCCACTGCGTCTTGTAGATAGATATCTTGATATAAGTCCTGGCTGTGTGCTTGCTGTCGATATCGCTGTGTCATCCACGTAGAGCGACATGGTGGTATGTTGGGTTTCGGGGATGTCCGCAGTGTAAATGGTATAAAGCAATGGGGACAATACCGCTCCTTAAAGTACTCCCGCTTCCGAAAGTCCTGGTCTAGATAGGACATGTCCCATCTTGATCCGAAATTGTCTTCCGCCGAGGTACAACCTGAGCAACCTTGTCATACCTGCTGTGTACCCTTGGTCTTTTATTTTGAAAATCAGCCCAGCGTACCATACTTTGTTGAATGCCTTGGCGACATCCAAGAATATGGTTCCTGTGGACTGATTTCTGTTGAATCCTCTGATAATCCCTTCGACGACTATCAGGACTTGTTCGTCTGGTAATATGTTGAGGTTTCTGGTTTCTTCTCTTAACCTTCTTAGGATAATTCTTTCCGCATTATTACTCATAGCCGGGAGCAGGCTAATGGCCATATTATGGTTAGCTATAAAAAACGATTTTATCCAAACATTTTTTCCCACAAAACTATCATTTCCCTATTATCTTCTTCTGGAATAGCGTTTTGCCAATTTCGATTCTGTAGCTTCATCTGAATGTTAATCAATTATACAGTGCTTATTTTTTCGTATTAGGCATACGACTAGTATACAAGTTAATAAAATGGCAACACAGCAACAGCGAGTGGTTAACAAGAATAAGAAGATATGGTGGTGGGATATTAGCCTAACTAAGAGCATAGCAACAGCGGGGATATCGTAGCGTAGTTGCCACATGTTTGCTGTAAAAGCACGGCTATGCCTAATACAAAATAATAAGTACTGTATATTAGTTATGCCAACCATCAATTTTTGTTTATTCCTCTGGCTTATAAAACTTTTCGGTCTTGAAAATACTTTAAAAATATGAGGTGTTTAAAAAAATACCTTATCGAAAGCAACATTTATTTATTTATATAATTTAATTTCAGAAATAGTTTTTTTATTAAAAAGTAATATAAAAAAATAAAATATTTATTATATAAATTTCCGAGTATCAGATTTAAAAAAATGAAGACGTCATCGTACTTAGCTGAATTCCAAATCCAATATTTTAGTTATAAAAATACAATCCGATGTTCAAAAAGTCAAAAAAT